CCACTTCGAATTATTTTATTCGATTAAGCTAACGTGCCTATCACGTTGAGGTTGGCTACGCCGGGATTCGTTTTCAGCAAGTAGATATCCACACAAGTGGACCTTGTTGGAGCATACGTAATCCTAAAATGTAGCATCGTGCTACAGATGGCGTTTACTGCGCCATTTGTAGTATTTTCTATACTTCGTTTTTAAACGATTAAAATCGTAATTACAAATATTTTCACCGTAAAGTTTACTTAAAAAGATACTTTTGATAAGGGGAATAAATTATTTATGGGTAAAATACTTACACCGGGCATGATTACTCGTTCTACGTCATTGAGTACATCTTGCCATTTTTCAGGGGTGCTGGGAGGACCATCAGGGATTAAAGGACGTAAATATCCTGGTTCAACGGTAGGTAGTACTCGCCTATAGATAACACACGTAGAAATTATTGAGAAAATGAACAACAAAAAATTACCTAAATATTAAAGCGATTTAATAAAATTTGGACACGAATTCGTAAAAATAAAATCCCAGCAGAAATAATTTATTTGGTATTTTACTTGATATTACAAATTTAATTGTAATAATTAAGAAACGAAATAATTTTTAAAGAAACATGTCAAAATTAAGATTAGTACAAGTTACCTAATAAATTCTACTATTTTTACGGCTAATTCAGTAATTTACAATCGAAAATTCTAATAAAACAATTGTCATAAAAATTAGTTTTCTCCGTGTAAGTGTTCTAAATTGTCCATTTTAATTCTATTTTCCCAAGACCACCTATTTATGTTTCTTAATAACTTTTAATACGAGAAATATTTAAATAAGAAATATTTTCGAATACTACGTATCCTACTTTATTTTGCAAATTTCAGTAGTTGAAGGGTTGAAGGATGTTTGAGTAAAATGTGTTCTCAATTTTTTATTTCTGTTAAGAATTTCTTTGAGAAATTTGTGTAGAAGTCTCATACCGGGGACATATACAAAAAGTCTACTTTCTTAAATTTAGATTAAGCGAAAAAGAAATTATTTATTGTAAGCTAATAAATAGTTATAGTATACCGGAATTCGAACAATTTCTACTTGGAATTGATGTGTTTATGTAGTTTTATGAAGTTATAGAATAACCCAAAACAAAGTCGTCAAGTAATTATTGGCAGTTAAAATTAAAGAACATTACTTACAGTTTCGTTTGAACATGCAATTTAAATTATATTACGAACCAAACATTTACACAATACGAGAAAGTACTCGCAACAGTAGAAGTTTTTATATTCTGAGACAGGTCATGGCCAATACACAGAAACGATCAAAAAATAATAACTAATACCTGTATACTATAGCATTAGATATGTAGGTAGATATCTATCTAGATACGTCATAATTTACTAGATTGTATGCTACATTTTTTTCTTCGAGTGATCATATACCAATTAAAAGTAAAAACAAAATTGCAATAAAGCCCTTTGTTAAATTGCCAATAAACTAATTACAAAACAAAATAGTGGATAACCTTGCGCAGTTTTACTTCCGTTTTTGNATTTCTACGGCAAATTCAGTAATTTACAATCGAAAATTCTAATAAAACAATTGTCATAAAAATTAGTTTTCTCCGTGTAAGTGTTCTAAATTGTCCATTTTAATTCTATTTTCCCAAGACCACCTATTTATGTTTCTTAATAACTTTTAATACGAGAAATATTTAAATAAGAAATATTTTCGAATACTACGTATCCTACTTTATTTTGCAAATTTCAGTAGTTGAAGGGTTGAAGGATGTTTGAGTAAAATGTGTTCTCAATTTTTTATTTCTGTTAAGAATTTCTTTGAGAAATTTGTGTAGAAGTCTCATACCGGGGACATATACAAAAAGTCTACTTTCTTAAATTTAGATTAAGCGAAAAAGAAATTATTTATTGTAAGCTAATAAATAGTTATAGTATACCGGAATTCGAACAATTTCTACTTGGAATTGATGTGTTTATGTAGTTTTATGAAGTTATAGAATAACCCAAAACAAAGTCGTCAAGTAATTATTGGCAGTTAAAATTAAAGAACATTACTTACAGTTTCGTTTGAACATGCAATTTAAATTATATTACGAACCAAACATTTACACAATACGAGAAAGTACTCGCAACAGTAGAAGTTTTTATATTCTGAGACAGGTCATGGCCAATACACAGAAACGATCAAAAAATAATAACTAATACCTGTATACTATAGCATTAGATATGTAGGTAGATATCTATCTAGATACGTCATAATTTACTAGATTGTATGCTACATTTTTTTCTTCGAGTGATCATATACCAATTAAAAGTAAAAACAAAATTGCAATAAAGCCCTTTGTTAAATTGCCAATAAACTAATTACAAAACAAAATAGTGGATAACCTTGCGCAGTTTTACTTCCGTTTTTGAAGGTCTATCGTAGGACATAATTGAAATCTATTCGTTATTAGTTATTGTTTTATTAGTCCTGTCCAAGTAGTCGGCTCCAAAACGTAATGGATAGAAAAGGATAGGTGGAAAACGCTAGGGAAGTCAGCAAGGAGAAGGAGAGAACGGAGAGACACTTTGACACACGAAGGGCTAACATACAAGAACTTAAAACCTCTTAATAGAAATTTTACGTCCTTAAAAGTTTCCGTCGTCATAAGTATAATTTTAAAGTAGGTAATACAAAAATAATTGTAACAAGGAATGTTTAGTTTTTTATGATTTCTATTCGCTCAATTTTCAGGAAATGCATATTGATTAATCCACTTTCATATACCCGTACCAGAATGCCTTGAATATTAGTTTATTTCCATCATAAGTTCGATTACTTCACTGTAGTTTCGTAAAATCATTACCAAATTTATATAAATACAACTTTATTTACATATATTTGAAAGGTACAGATGTGTTGAAGATAGAAACTTCTATTTGTTCGAAAACTATAACAAAATTAGACGGTTTCTTCATCATGAAAGTATACTTCAAATAATTTTGTATAGGTACATCACGAAAAGTCTTGGAAAACAAATTTTTTTTCTTTCTTTGAGGCTGTCAATTGGTGTTCAGAACCATTAGAAACTTTATTACCTACTAGTTTACTCCTTTTTGCAATTTTTTACTATAATTTGCATCAATATAGAAAGGCATGTATGAGCCAAGCGAATAGAAGTGCGAAACATAATTTTTATTTTGAAATTTTGACTTGCAACTCCAAAGAACATGAACAAAGTGAGTGTTGTCGAACTCTCTTTTGTTTTCACGGTTGAACCAAACCTAATCTAATTCTATCCCAACCTTAAAACCTAAGTCATTTGAAACGCAGACAGAAATCGTCACAACATTGATAGGTAACTGAATACATTACGTAAACATTTTCAGTTTAAAGTCGACATTTCCAGATTCAAGTCGAAATTTTGAGTTCCATATCGAAATTTCGAGTTATGGATCAAAAGGACCCCGCTAGATCCTTACGGAAAATGGCCCACTGTCAAACTCTTTAAAACTGTGGATTCTGGTAGTTAAATCAAAAGTTTCATTGGGCTTTATGTCGTAAAAAGTCATCATTTTTAGATATAGTTCTTCCTAATTGCATCTTGGACGTCCTTACGGAAACATGGTACTTTAAGGGACCTTATTTCAAAAAGAAAAGAGTTTTTTCAACTTAGCACCCATTGAATCTTTTGATCTACAAGTAGAGGACTACCAGAATCCAAAAGTTTGACACAGAATCGTTTTGAGCTAGGATCTAACGGGGTCCTTTAAAAAAAGTTATCTTTGACTCGAGTACAATGTACATATTGTTTGCGCGAATGTCTGCTCTTAATGTTGACTTGATAGTAGCACAAACAAGTAGTGTCTTACCTGTCCCGGATATTTTCCAAGTAATCGGCAGCATAGTCTATCATAGCCTTTGCGAAATCTTTAAACTCGCTGGCCTCCATTTCTGAAAGCAAAATGAACATAAACGAGAGAACGTGATCCCAAAATTACATTATCGATGTTTCTATTGAACGATGCGAAATTTCAAATTACGAAAGCGCGCAAATAATAATCTAGTTAAGTACCTAGACGCTATTTCAACTAACAATGTCACACATGCAAGTTTATTAACCAACGAATCTAATAATTAAGTTTCGAAATAAGTAACAACACTACAATTATTATGTTTAATTGATTGGAGACAATCGTAAAATAAAAGTAGTAAATTAGTAACGGCTTTCGCGGTCGGTAGATGGACTAATGCTGTCCTGATTCGGGTCCTTCCATACTCGATACTAGATGTGTCCACTTGGATATGGCAGATGGAAGGATCTCTGAAGGAGCTCGCCACTCGTGGTAGCGAAACGTTAGGAAAGAACTTTACATTTTTATAATTTCTGACTGTTTATTCAAAAAATATTCTTTTTTCATAAAATCAATCAATCAAGATCCTAAATGTCAACAATAGTTTTTTTAATACAACCTTTTTATCATAAGGTTTTCATTACATACATTCAACAAACAATTTTCCCAAATTCTTTAACAAGTACCCTTCTGGGGGAAATTCCACTCCAAGAGCTCTATTATAATATGAAAGAAGAGCATAGAAATAAAAACTGCCACTCCATTTTCAAAGCTGAACTCAATCCAAATCTCTTGAATCTATACGATTTCCAATATTTCTGATTCCGCCCCTGTGTGATCTCGAATTTAAGTCACGGACATGACTTAATTATGTCAATAAATGGTATCATAACAAGCGTTTATCTAATAAACCTGAACTTCCGACACGTTTACGAAGAGGTCAAGATTCATCTGTACTACAGTATCTAAATACACAACATTTGTCTTCGAATTAAAAAGTAATCATTTCACTTTTACTTTTCAAGCAATTATCTCCGCTATTTTTAATTAATTTCTGATGCATCAAAATTTGAATGACAAAGATAGCTATTTTTTTTTATTCTTTGATACGAAATATTGGTGAACGCTTTCAATATATTCTCAAAAAACAATATATACATGCTTAATTATCAACAGTATTTTAGAACGAAAAACTTTTTAAACAAATTATTCAAAATATAAAATCACACAGAAAGCAGCTAAACTTTTTTAAAAATTTTAACTTCTTAATTTGGATTTCTAAAATAACAGATAAGCATTCAACAGCATCCAGCAAATGATAAAAATCCTGTTCACAATAATTCACAGCACATTTTCTATTTCAAAAAAAAAAGGAAAAAGACAATGAAAGCACACAGAATACGCAAAACGACATCCTGATGACAAACCGCCTTTAAGTAGAAAGTCCTCTTTTGACTGTGACATTTCGTTTCGACGACTTAAAATCTACCACACACACACCTTCTTCTGCGAGTCGACTTCCTGGTGAACGAACACTTATCAAAGATACGACCGATTTTATAGTCGCGAATACTCCGTTACTTCGACGTCGACGAGTGCGCGATAAACCAGCTCTTGGGCCGCCGTTCGTGGGCTCTTAAATCCGAATTCGCGACTGCCAAGAGTGGGGCCAATCGATTAACGCCAGAAGGTGCTCCATGGAATGACCAGTAGCTCCAACATTCTTTTCTTCTGAAAACTGTCCCGGTTAAACCCATATCGAGGACTACGTCACTCATTTGAATTCGAAATAAAAACAAAAATGTACCAGTGTTACTAATGCTGTGACCATCAGAAATTACCTAATTATTAGCATTCTTCAGTAAAATTACAATTAATTAAAACATAAGTCAAATTTCTCGTAACATGGGATTACCCATTATTTATATGTAAACAAAAATGAACGAAAATATAGTAAATATCTGCAAACTAATAGGTCTATTGTTGCTTCCAACATGGCGGTTAGTGGCCGCCATGTTGTGTTAATATGAATTTACACAAAATGCAGGATATAGACTTCCGCCTTCGTGTAATATTTTCTCAGAGCAACCCTGTGAAGGAATTCCTTTTACTTCAATTAAGTTTTGAGATATAGTGAATGATATGAATTCTAATGTGTGCAGAATGGTCACTATGTAAGGCATACATTTTATCTTAGGATAGATTGGATATTAACAAAATTCAAAAAAAAATTCGAAAGACATAAAATACCTTATTTCAAAAAGAAAAGAGTTTTTTCAACTTAGCACCCATTGAATCTTTTGATCTACAAGTCGAGGACTACCAGAATCCAAAAGTTTGACACAGAATCGTTTTGAGCTAGGATCTAACGGGGTCCTTTAAAAAAAGTTATCTTTGACTCGAGTACAATGTACATATTGTTTGCGCGAATGTCTGCTCTTAATGTTGACTTGATAGTAGCACAAACAAGTAGTGTCTTACCTGTCCCGGATATTTTCCAAGTAATCGGCAGCATAGTCTATCATAGCCTTTGCGAAATCTTTAAACTCGCTGGCCTCCATTTCTGAAAGCAAAATGAACATAAACGAGAGAACGTGATCCCAAAATTACATTATCGATGTTTCTATTGAACGATGCGAAATTTCAAATTACGAAAGCGCGCAAATAATAATCTAGTTAAGTACCTAGACGCTATTTCAACTAACAANTTTATAACAAAGAATTCTTTGCCTTCCAGCGTTATTAAACGATTTATTTGGTGTAAGTAAATGGCAAATAATACTTTGTCCTTGTGCGTAGCTACCTATAACTGTATGTAGTTTATTTATGCTTTAAAATATTTTCACTAATTGACTTAAACTCTATATATAACAAAATTAGGTAATTAACTCACTACATTAATTATTTTGCTGTCTACACCATTTAAAGAAAGTATTATTACTTGCTTAACAACCAGGTACGTACCTAGGCAGTAAAGAAAAATTTTATTCTTTTAACTATTGCTCATAATCGGTTATGAATTTCTACAAAACTCAAAATAAGTTCAATGCAAGTAATTAGCTGACGATAAATCTATATTGATTTGACACAAGTTTGTGTAAAGTAAAATTCGATTTAGAATAAACAATAATTGATTGACTTGACTTTACAAAACAAAAACCATAACAATTGTTTTGTCAAACTCTGACTTCATCAGATGATGAATCCTATGTAAAAGGAGTAAGTCAAAGGTCCAATTCAGGATGAGTCTAAAAAAAGCAGTTTTTTCTTCTATTTACCAATAATGATTCCCTTTATGGAATACCTATATGGGGTTGGATTTATACCAAAGCTTATATAAATACAACTACAATATTATTCTTGGCTGCCTTTGCCCAATTTCTTTCCCTTTTTGCTTTGGTCTGCTTCATCCAGTCTATGTTTTCTTTTGGTCGATTCATTATTTCAGCCTAGCTCGGTTCTGTCCTGACCCTGACTATAGAATTCTCTTTTAAATGTTGCCTGGTTTCTTTTTCCTTTCTATTTTTCATGCTCTGCATGCCTTTTCTTCTTTCCTTAGCCAGTAAAATTCCCATTTCCATTCATTGCAGCATCTAAACCTCGACATCATTTTCAGCTTATTTTTATTCCCTTTCAGTTCCAAATATTTTGGCATTGCTTCAGTTATCCATCTCTTATAGTCTTTCGTCTAGTTTATTAAGTTTTCCAGATCCTGCCTCTAAACATATTAACTTTGTCTTATTCTCTTCCAAGAAAATGACCTTTTGGTGTGAATCTCTTTAAATCCAAGGTCAACCTTTTTACCTACTCTGAACGTTCTTCCGTGTTTCTCTAGTTTGACTTTACCAAATTTCAATTTCATACAAAAAAGTACTCTTAAACAGAATATGAGATATCATCATTCTTCTGCAAATTTTCCTTTTCCAATTGCCCATACTTGTCTTGATTCTTGCTAAATTTTTCGCAGTTTTCTATTGAAAACCGATAGATTCTTAATTTTTTATATAAAAATCAATGAGCTGTATTTATATAACATCTAATTAATAGAGAGATTTAATAACTACATTGTGTTTTTCTCTTCCATTCTGGCTTTGATTTTGATATTATTATCTTTAAAAGTATTTAATTTTTATTATTGCATTGACAATTGTTTCGCAACATTATGGTTACATTAGATATTAAACAAGCATTTAAACCTACTGGAAATGTTACTTCTTTTACTAATTGTGTTATAATAACAAGTATTAATATTTCAGTCAGGTTAAAGTTATTTTTTTAACTTCTAAAAATGCCGCAAAGAGGTTAAAAAATTGCCAACGCAATAAAAAAGTAAGTAAATTATAAACAAAACATTAATTTTACATTAAGTTCAAAGTAATAATCTATTTTATAATAAAGAATAAATGGACGCATTTCAGTTTTAACATTATTTTCTGAAAAATAATTTCTAGAATCTTACTTGTCTTTTATTTTTATTTTTTGCTATATATACATTGATTTTATTATTCCAATTATTCAATGAGGAACAATAAGTTCAATATTGTAATACCAAAGTCATATTTAATTAGAACCTTCGTGCAAAACTGATGAAAGTAAATTAGTTATTTTTGTCCTTATATTCTTACGTGAAATAGTTCACGATTGCTTTGTTACACGTATGTAATTGTAAGATACTTACTTAACCAAATTAATTCATTGTTAAGGAATAGTTACACCAAAATATAGGACAGTTTTCATAATTTGAAAAAACATGTAGCTGGAAAATATTTCCACACAGTTTTCGTTCGTGAAAAAATGCTGACAAAAAATATGTAACTTCTATGTTTGGTGAACATTTTGCCTTACCTGTATATGGGAAAGGATACCATTAATATGCGACAGGTCAAAGTCTAGAATAGTATAACCGACAAGGAAGAGAGTTGATTTTTTTTCATGTCTAGATAAATGTGCAATACTTACAATACCCAAGAATAAAACGTTAATACTGTAATAGAAAGTGCTAAGTCATACCATACACTACTTCTCAAAAGTAGAAGTGTAAAATTGTACCTATTTCAAAAACAATTCATACTTTTGATATTTTATATGTTCAGTTTTGAAATAAGTATGACAGTCATAATTTATTATTCAATTTGACTTTTTCTTCAGATTTTATTCAAAAATACCAAAAACCGTTGAAGTTTTAAATGAAAAACAGAATCGAAATAGAATAAAAAAGGCTGAATTATTCTTAATTCCTATTTTAATAATTTGATGGTATTTTTTATTTTGATCAGAATTCTTGAAAGAGACTGTATGTATACTGGTACACTCTTAACAGTTATTAATAAATATTCATTTAAATATGTTAATTAAGAAGTCCTTTCGCCTGAGGTATTTTTTAAAGTACTTTTGATGAACCGGAAAGCTCATTTTTATATATTTTCTATTTGAAAACATAAACAACCAAACGCCTAAAATAAGATCTCTCAAAAATCATATTTTAATATT